CTAAAAAAAAAAAAAAAAAAAGAGGTTCGAAAGGAGGCTGCCCTCTCCTGCAAGGTCTTCCCCTGGGGGTGAGCCCATTGCTGGCTTCTTGGGAAGGTGGGGCAGGTTCAAAAGTGGGGGAGGAATGAAAGTCAGAATTTTGGTATTTTTTCCCATATGAGTCTAGGATTTTAAAGCCCGAAGGCTCTTTATTAGAGAGTAATAACTTTTTAAATTATTTTTTCCATGACTGAGAGAGAGAGAAAGAGAAAAGAGCACCTCCCATAGGTTCTAAGACCACCCTCCAATCCGGCCGCGGCCGGCCCACATCGCAGGCTCACGCATGCCTACTGTTCTCAGGGAAGACTCTGGTCACAACCCCAGGACCTGCCCACGTGGGTCAGCAAGGAAGGCTTTGTTTGTTTGGTTTGGTTTTGCCAGAGGGTATATGTGCTCACTAGAGAAAGAGAAAAAGGAAGAAAGCACCCCCAACGGGATACGGTCCTGCCACAACCTCTTCTCCATGCCTCCTGTCAGGATTTGGGGCATGCATGCATCTATGCCCAGTGTATTTTTCAAGTCTCTGGAGCCAGGATTCAAACCTTGATCAACCAAGTGGGATCTGATTCCCTTAACCACTAGGTTATGGGGCCAGCCAGAGACATGATACGTGTTTTTGGATTTTTTTTTTTCCTAAATTTTTGCCATAAGACATGTGCAGTTGCCAGAGAGACAGAGACAGAGAGGGAAAGTGAGATAGCACTCCCCGCACCCCAGAGGGGACGGCCACATCGCAATCCTTTCTTCGTCATTTTCCTCTTGGGATTTTGAACACATTCACACACATGCCCAGCATGTTTTTCAAGCCACTGGATATAGGACTCGAACCATGCACTTGGTCATGTGGGATCTGGCTCCCTTAACCACTAGGCCACGTGACCCTTGAGTAATGATTTAATTCAGAATTTAGTCTTCCATTCTGCAGTAACATCATATTTGACCTCTGTCCTGTCTGTCTAGAAAAGGAGATAGAAACTTTTCCAGTAAAATTCCAAGTGAACCCCAAAGAACAAAGTCTGGAACTGAGGCTGGTGCAGGGGTCGGAGGGCAGGTCATGGATTTTCTGAGGATGTCTAGGCGGCTTTCAGGAGGGCCTGTGAGCACGGTGCAGATAGGCCCATCCTGGACCTCGCCACTAGGGGTCCACAGCTTGCCACACACTCAGTCCTTAACACCTCAGAGACTGTCCCCCAGACAGGGCTCTGCAGTCCCCAGCATTGTGTGGTGAGCTGGAGGGGACATGGGGCCCTCACGGATGAGAGATGCCTTGCAGAGATACGGACCCATTGCCGGTGAGAAGAGGGAAGCGGGTCCAATAGGAGTGAGAGAGAAAGGGAAGAACAGAAAACACGGCTGAGTGACAGCTGCCCTTGCTGCAGCACCGTCCTGGGGCTGACCCCAGGTATCCGCCAGGAGTTTCTCCAACCCCGCGTTTAACTTCTCTCACACACCAGGCAGCCCCCGGGCAGGGCCCAGAGGAAAGGGGAGTTGAGAGGAGATAAGAGCGCTAGGTGAGTGGGAGGGAGATGCCGGTCATGGGGCCCAGGGTGGGGAGCCCCCTGGCACCCCGGGAAGCCCAGGCCCGGGAGGTTTCACTGGAAGAGGGGCTGGGGCTCAAGTGAGAAGTGAGACACACAGGTTTCCGGTGAGCTCACTGGTGTCAGACACCTCTGCTGCTCAGATAAGGCCTCAGGAAACACTCCAAGTCACTCTGGGGGTTTCTCCCTGGCCAGCCTCTGGGCTGCTCAGGACCAGGAGAGCGGGACCCGGGAGGACGCAGCCTGCATCTGAGGCTTATCGAGCCGTCAGCTCAGGGCAGCAGCGAAGCATCCGTCCTGCTGTGCTCCATCTTCACCCAGCTTGTCAGCGTGACAGGTGACAGTGAAACCTGCTCCTCCACTGCCCGGTTCCAAGAGGGCCATGCGGGGCTGCCAGTGGTGGGGGCAAGCAGCCGGCCCTGGGACGTGTCTGCTGGTGACCACCTGGCCTGTGCAGAGGTCCCGGCTGGTGTCAGAGCAGGGGCTACGTCGGGGCCACCCTCTCCACCCGCTGCCCACTCCTTGCCTGTGAGATAAACGTCACCAAGCTCATTATCTCCGTTCACTTCTCAGCTCCACCCAGAAGCAGCAGGGCAAATGGTTTGCAACGAACTTTCCCAGATCAACCGATTTCTCAGCAGCAAGGGAGGGGGCCCCATGACGAAGCCATTTGAAATCCCAGAAGCAATTTTCTACTTACGACCTCACTTTCTGTTGCGCTCTCTTC